ATTTATATAGCCTGAGAAATTCATAGATTATCACATTCTGCTTTCTTCTGGCTTAAGTTCTTCCATCAATATATCTCCTTTTTCTCATTTTATTGTCTGTTGTTAAGAAAAAAATCTGGTTGTATGCTCAGAATTTTTCTTGAGAATCAATGGAGTTGAAGCCTCATCAGCATAAGGAATTTAAATACCGCTTCTGAGCAAACAGCAACAAAATAGGTGACTCTGACCCCATGGCAATGCCCAGATATCCAGGTTTAAAAATTATATCATACTCATCCCTGCCAATTTCAAATATTGTGTCCATGCCCATAGCTAAGTCTCTGCAGAAAGAATTAGGAAAACTCCAAGATAATCTTTCCTGCCTTTGTATGGGATGAAAAGCCAAGCAGAACACAAAAGGAAAGAAATATATTTCATGACTTTGGTGTAAGGGAGGCATCTGAATTTTCCATTACCTCTGTATCCAACTGCAATTGGTCTATAAATATCATGAAAGATCCAGGAAATACAATAATAAGTAATATAACTAAAGTCATTTATCCTCTAAGGTTTTCATATCAAGAGGTAACAAATACAGCAATGGGTAATGGCTTAGGAGAAAGGATTAGTAAAGTTTATGTCAGTCTTCAACATAATGTAAAGTTATTCTAGCATGTTGAACTGGTATACTCAGTTCTGGTGTCTGAGTCCCTTGTGTCACCTTAGATCACTGATGAAACAAGTATCATAAACCTCAGACCTTTGGTTTCTTTAACTATTCAGCATCATTATCTCATCAGCCATTTCAGAGTTGCTTCTGTGGTTGTGCAGTTTTCCCTAATTAGTTCTTCTGAATGTTTCATGCTCATTTTAATCTGGTAATACATTGCAAGTTTTGACACTTTTGATGGCATTCATCAAAGTGTAAAGGGCTTTATTTTCTCATGAGTCATCTTTCGTGTTTTTCTATGTTTTTATTGATTTTGGCTTGAATCACTCCTTTCAACATTGTTTAACAAGAATTATTTTGTTAACAAGAATGTTGCCTAATAAGTTGTTTTCTTTTTTCTAACAATAAGGTATTAGCATCATTAAAACAGTACTGACATCACACAGCTTAAATAAAATAACACCTGGCTGGGCGCGGTGGCTCACGCCTGTAATCCCAGCACTTTGGGAGGCCGAGGCGGGTGGATCATGAGGTCAAGAGATCGAGACCATCCTGGTCATCATGGTGAAACCACCGTCTCTACTGAATTACAAAAAATTAGCTGGGCACGGTGGTGCGTGCCCATAATCCCAGCTACTCAGGAGGCTGAGGCAGGAGAATTGCCTGAACCCAGGAGGCAGAGGTTGCGGTGAGCCAAGATCACGCCATTGCACTCCAGCCTGGGTAACAAGAGTGAAACTCCATCTCAAAAAAACAAAACAAAACAAAAAAAACAGCTTTTTACTTTACTTTGAAAATGGCATGGTAAAATGAAACAAGGCTTATAAAACCCTATGATCTGAACTATTTTAATGAAAAATAGTATCACATTTAAGGGCAGGGATAATTCTAAGTATTGATATGTATGCTTAGTAATTATGAAAGAATATTGAGTCCAGAAAAAAAATTAAAATACTTTTTTGAATATAGAAAACTGAGGAATAGAAAGTTGGAGGAGCAAGAAAGTGCTATGAGGCATTTCTGAAAATTTCTGGCTGCAGTGGGCATACTCAGCTGGGCTGTAGCCAGAACTCACTCAGGGGGCACACAACACTTTTAGTGTAGGACCTAGAGAGTTTAGACTCCTCCTCCTTTTCATTCTCAAGTATTCTTGCTGAAAGTGGGCCAAGAGGACATTTCTCAGTGCATCCCTTCTTCCTCTTGACCCAAATAGATGTAGGAGGCAATGACATTAACAAGAAGAATGAGGGCATAACACAGAGTAAGAAACCATTCCAGTTAGCCTACAACTAAGAAGGTTCCTGGGCTGCAGGACCTTCAGTGCAAGAATGGGCGACGATTCAGGCATTTAGGGAACAATCAATTGCCCTAATGCAACACCATAGAAAAGATGACCTCAGGACTGAGGTGGCTGTTGTGTTCCAGACTCAGCACCTATAGATGAGGACATGTGTCAGAAGGGACAATTTGAAAAATCCTTAGCAGCATCAAATTCAAATATCTTTAGAGATAAATGATTGATATAAATGTGCAATTCCATTAAAATATTCAGATTTGGTCAAAACACTCTGTATGTTCATGTTAAAAATAGTTTGAAATTCCTGATAAATCACTTTTTCTTCATCACTGGACTAGGGAATCTAGCCACAGATATGTGCACAAAACCCTTAAAAGCAAAGTGAAGCATAATGGTCACAGGTAAATGCATGTGGTTCGGAGCACAGACTTTGGAGAGAGAGAGACTTAGAGTTTGAATGGCAGCTGCAACATACAGTACCGGCTGGTCATGGGAAGTTCCCTAACTATCCTGTGTCACAGTTCCTTAAGTTTCAGTAGTGCCTTTCTCAGTGCAGTATTGCAAGGGCTCAAAGTATTAAATATACAATGAATGTAGAATACTTCCTGGTTCACAGGACGTATGGAAAAAGTGTTAGTTATTAACTTCTCGATCCTCCGTCCTTGCCACTCATTAACTTTACAAATATCTGTCAAATCTAAGTGCTAGCCATTGTTCTTGGCACTTAAGCCAGAAAAATCAGTGAGACATGCCACATACCACAAAGAGCCTTCATTCTGTCTCCCAGGGGTGTTGGTTAAATGATAAAATTTAGTCAAGTTTCCTCAGCCAATATCACTCATTACACACAGCCTGAAATTTCAACATAAAGAATATGCTATCAATAACATATAGTGTTAATGTGCTAGCCACTATTACACTGAGGTCATGGACGTTGTAAGCCCAAGCTCAGGTATTCCTTTAGGAATTTAGGATGTATTCCCACAGGTACCTGGTTGTCAAGCTCATTGGAAGTTGCCTGAGCTGAAGGAAGCTCCCGCCATATACATTATGCCTCATTTCTAAGACAGCCCTTTTCCAATGATCTTCCTGGCTGTTAAAAGGAATGTGTTAAAGAAGAGAAGGAATAAAAATTGGACAGAAAGAGATCTTGGGCTCTGTGTAGTGGCCACAAGGCCTGAGTCAACCCTATGTGGACTCTGAAGCTGAGATAGCCCCTCAGAGTTATTATAATGTGAGGCATTGGGGTCAGGTCTTTATACACCATTATACACTCATGTTACCATACTTACGGTACTTTGATTCCTTAACTTTTCACAAGTCTAATGAATAATATTAAAGAGTGAATATTAATGCCATGTTTTGTAGGGCATCTTGTGAAAACATTGCCTTTTAACAGCCTTTAACTTGTCCTTTAAATTCCTATTATATAAGCCTGCAGGTAATGATAGCAAATACAAAACTCTTAAAGCACGTGCACTCATACTTTTCATAAATGGAACCAAACAACTGCTGCTTCCTCGGCTGGTCAGTTCCAAGATAATATAATTAGTTGACACTGTTTCTCAGAGAAGAGCTGATATGGGGTGTGGGTCTTTGCTGTGATAGCTGGCAGGTGCAGTCCTATTGTTTGATTGCTTAATGGGATTACTTTATAGTGCAAACAATCTACCTGAGACCAAAGGGAAATCAAATTTAAAACAAAAGATAATGGAGAAAAAACAATCATCATTGCTCATTATTTTTCTTTTTTTTTGCTTCTTTAAATGGCTGTTTTTACTGGCTCAAAGAGTGTGGCAGATGTTGTCTGTGTCTTTGTCACAGGAACTGACAGTTTGCCTAGAGAGCAAGAGCACCAAGGCAGAAGTACAGAAAAGGTGATGTTTTATCATTTAGAAATAACAGATCGGACGATTACACACATATTTTCAATTGCATATCTTGTATGCATTTTTGGAAATAAATAAGTGGCTCATCTATTTTTTAGTTTGACATGTATTTAAGCTGTCTGTAAGTCACGTGTTTCTTGAACATTGCAGTAGCATATTCTGGCATAACTGGCATATATTTTATATATTACATATAAAAATATATATATTTATATTATAATAATTATATATAAAATATATATATAATAATTATATAAAAAAATATAATTATATATAAAATGTATAAAATATAATTACATATATATAAAATATAAAACATATATAGAGTTTTCATTGAAGTCTTCAGCAAATATATATTTAGATATATTTTTTCTTGACATCTCCAGCAAACAAATAAATACACACACATACACATGCACACACACACAAACACAAACACACACACATATATGACTTCAAGGAAAACTCTAGCTATTTTAGGATGACACTTTCAATCCAGCTGGAGAATTGACCCCCAAAAATATGTTTTACAGAGATTTTCACAGTGCTGAAATGTAAGGCATCAATTGTCAGCTTTATGATTCTTCAGATTTCTATAGAGGATAAAAAAGGTTGTATGCAAACCACTGAGCAACAAGAAAAATTTCAAAAAAAGACCTACAAATAATTCTTTTAAAAAGTGATTTAGGCAAGTCTTTTATATAATTTGATCAGAGGCAAGTAACTTTTCCAGGAAATTCAGATTACTGAACATTTAGAAAAAAATATAATTTGTTTTGTAAAACAAACAACACCCATATTGATGCCCACACCTTCATGCCCTTGTGAACAAACTAGCTCAAGAATAATTTCAGCTGTTTCTAAAATGGCGTGTATTGATTACAGTGGTTGCAAGCAACAACAAATTCAAGACATAACTAATTTGAGTCTTTTTGTTAATAATATTATTGGCATACCTAAATGAAAACTCACAGCTGGATGCAGTGGCTCAAATGATGACATCTGGAGTATTAGTCTTTTGCTCTGGCTCTGATTTATTCTTCTTTGTGTCTCGCTTACATTTTCATACAAACTGTTGCGATATGATCAATGCCCAGTGTTCTAGTCCTACATTCCCACAGTATAAATATGAGAGAAAAATGTTTATCTTCCTTAATTTCAACAGTACTTGAACTGAGGATAGTCATCCCTGAACAGCCTCTGAATTCCTGTACATTAATAAGCCACCAACTAAACACAGGATTTGGGATTTGATTAATGAAGCCTGGATCTTATGCCTAACTCTGGAACTAGGGTGCACGTCATGTTTAAAAGAACTATGTAAACTGAAGGTGAGAAATGGGGATTCTTGAGGGAAAATGAGAATCCTGTTATCAGCAAAACAATAAATGTTTGCACATCCAGCAAAAACAAAGGATTTAGTTTATTCTTGACAAGTGATACAATAGTATATAAATGCTCATAGTTATTGTACTAGGAAAGAGCTGTGTGAGTTTGAAAATGCTACATTAATTCACCTATTTCTTCAGAAATGTAAGTGCTTCTCCCTTATCAATATCATCCCAGTCCTGTGGGTTTCTGTCATTTCACAATGCCCTTTCTATGTTAGTCCTTTTTTACATCACTCTAAAGAAATACCTGAGGCTAGGTAATTATATTATAAAGACGATAGATTTAATTTGCTCTAATTCTGTACTCTGTACAAGCATGGCACTGCCATCTGCTCTGCTTCTTGCATGAACTGAGTGAGAACCCATTCACGACCGAAAGGATGGTGTTAAACTGTTCATGAGAGATCCACATCTATAAATCAGTAACTCCCACTTAGGCCCCACCTCCAACACTAGAGATCACATCTCAACATGAGATTTGGAGAGGACAAACATTCAAACCACATTGCCTTCTCTCTTCCTTGGCAGTTGTATGCTATCTAGACAGAAAAGTTCAAATTGGCATCCCTCATCTAATTCTCTAGATAGAAAATGGGTTTTGTGGGGCTGCAATTTATGAATAAGTAATTTTAATTGAATGCAGAAAACATTCAGTTATCTACTTAGAATACCTTAAGCAGTAGGCACTCTGTCGTGTATTACATTAAGTATAAACATTATTAAACCCCAGTTCCTGACTTTATAGTATAAAAGGTAACGTGAAGAGGAGCAAGCAACTCTTTGAAATTCTGAAAAATAAGAATAACAGATACAGTTAAAGAGCTGTACTATCACTAGCACTGCAGCCAGCCTGATTTTTTTCTTCAAAATTATATACAGGCATCCATGATTAAAATACACAAAATTCGAAATGCTCCAAAGTCAAAACTTTTTTGGTATCAACATGACACTCCAAAGAAATGCTTATTGGAGCATTTATGATTTCCAGTTTTCAGACTAGGGATGCTAAGTATAATGCAAATCTTTCAAAATCTGAAAGAGTCAAAAATCTAAAACAGGCTCCAAGCATTTCAGATAAGGGTTTCTCAATCTGTATAAATTTATTGTATATATTAAAAAGTAAACTAGTTGTTGTTATAGTACAACATAATCTAAATAGTTATAAATTTTTAAGTAGACAAGGAAACCTAGAAATACACTGAAATATTGTTGTGGATGTAATAGATGATAAATGAATTCAAAATTAAACATATTTAAAATCAGTGTATAGAATCATCTGGAAAACAGACCAAATAGTTGAAACAATGTCTCCAAAATTATAAATGCACACAAATTTTGCCTCTGGTATTTCATATACAGAAATTTTCTTGCAGATGTATTTTTTTAAAATATATATATATTATTTTAAATAATATATATAAATATATATTATATATTAAAAATAATATATATAAATTATATATATTATTTATATATATTAAAAATAATATATATATGGTTAATATATATATTATTAAAAATTATATATATATATGGTTAATCATTTAGAACTATTTGTAACAACAAGATTTAAAATAACCTAAAGACCAAAAAGTAGGAGTAAAATAAATTGTGTTTCATTCTTACAAAGGAGCACATCAAAATAAATGAAGCATTCATTTTAGAAATTACAGCAGTATACTGAACATACAGAAATAGTTATATATACTCAAAAAGCAACTCATTTTGTTTTTCACTATCTGTACAAAATGTATTCATTCATGCCCTCTTCTCTGCTTGAAACTTAGATGGCCCTATCAATTTTCAAATCATGCATCGATTGCAAACATTTCTATGGCAATTTAGAGAAGAAAAATCACACTTAAGCACTGTTCAATACTTAGATGTTCAGTCCCATGTAATAACCGTCAATTTTTGCTTCATGCAAAGTTGTTTTAACTCCTAATAAAAGCTGGTGATGCACTGGCTGCTCCATGATAAGGGAGGATTGACTCCTGTCTTATTCTTTTTTTTTTTTTAAATATATGTATTTTATTGCATTTTAGGTTTTGGGGTAAATGTGAAGAACATGCAAGATTGTTGCATAGGTACATACATGGCAATGTGGTTTGCTGCCTTCCTCCCCTTCACCTGTTATCTGGCATTTCTCCCCGTGTTATCCCTCCCCAACTCCCCACACCCCCGCCGTCTCTCCCCTAGTTCCCCAACACCAGTGTGTGATGCATGCCCCCCTCCCTGTGTCCATGTGTTCTCATTGTTCAACACCCACCTATGAGTGAGAACATGTGGTGTTTGATTTTCTGTTGTGTCAGTTTGCTGAGAATGATGGTTTCCAGGTTCATCCATGTCCCTGAAAAGGCCATGAATTCATCCTTTTGTATGGCTGGCTGCATAGTATTCCATGGTGTATATGTGCCACATTTTCCCTGTCCAGTCTATCATCAATGGGCATTTGGGTTGGTTCCAAGTCTTTGCTATTGTAAACAGTGCTGCAGTGAACATTCGTGTGCATGTGTCCTTATAATAGAATGATTTATAATCGTTTGGCAATATACCCAGTAATGGGATTGCTGGGTCAAATGGAATTTCTATTTCTGGGTCCTTGAGGAATCGCCACACTGTCTTCCACAGTGGTTGAACTAACTTACACTCCCACCAACAGCGTAAGTGTTCCTATTTCTCCACATCCTCTCCAGCATCTGTTGTCTCCAGATTTTTTTAATGATCACCATTCTAACTGGTGTGAGATGGTATCTTAGTGTAGTTTTGATTTGCATATCTCTAATGACCAGTGATGATGAGCATTTTTTCTTATGTTTGTTGGCCTCATATATGTCTTCTTTTGTAAAGTGAACAGACACTATCTTCTTTTCCTTACCTGCTTTACCATTCCGAGCCTAGGTTGAAGGGTCAGGAAGGAGGAGCAAAGAGGCTATCAGGAAAACATTTAGTTAACAGATACCATCTGAAGCTCATCTTTGGAGAATCACTCTCATACCATAAATAGTGCACACATAAGTACACACCCTTGCATACACACTCCCAATCAGGGGTTTTGCTGTAACCCCTTCACTCTGTACACTGTGCTTCAGTAAGACTTAGGAGTATATCTTGATTAACTTTGCTGCATACATATTCATGGTTAAGAAAATTAAAAGACAAATCACAGGTCAGGAGTAAGTATTTACAAATCACATTTCTGACAGGTAACTAGTATAGAAATCATATAAAGAATCCACAAAATTTAACAATTAGAAAAAAATCAATTAAATATTGCAAAAATAGGGCCTGGCATGGTGGCTCACATCCGTAATCCCAGCACTTTGGGTGGCTGAGGCGGGTGAATTACTTGTGGTCAGGGGTTCAAGACCAGGCTGGCCAAGATGGTGAAACCCCGTGTATACTAAAATTGCAAAAGTCAGCTAGGTGTGGTGGTGCATGCCTGTAATCACAGTTACTCGGGAGGTAGAGGCAGGAGAATTGCTAGAACCCAGGTGGTGAAAGTTGCAGCGAGCCAAGATAGCACCACAGCACACTACAACCAGGGCGACACCACGAGAGCCCTTTGAAAATAAATAAATCAGGGGGTTACAGCAAAACCCCTAATTATGAGTGATAAATGTATATATATATGTACACATATATAAACAGACATTTTACCATTTTACAAAGTATGCAAATGAAAAATAAATATATTAAGAAATGCTCAACATCATTTGTCAGGGAAATACAAATTGAAAAGACAATATATAATGTAATGCTACTATGCATCAATTATAATTACTGATAGCAACAGAAGTTAAAATATTAAATGCTACCAAGTCTATAGAACAGCTCGACTTCTTATATATTGCTGGTTAGAATAAAGGATACAGCAACTTTGGAAAATGGTTTATTGTTTTCTTAATAACATAAACACACATATTTTATATGACCCAGGAATCTCACTCTGAAAAATTTACTCAAGAGAAATGAAGACTTAAGCAAACACACACAATAACTAAATGTTTATAGCAGCTTTTTTTTTTTTTTACCCACACAAATGCTCCAATCTGGAAACAAGCTAGTAAATCCATGTCTTACTCCATTAAGTGTTGCTGTACAGGAATGCCTGAGGCCAGGGAAATTATAAAAAGCAAAGATTGTGGGTCATTAAGAACTTGCTTTATGTATCTTGGTGCTCCTGTATTGGGTGCATATATATTTAGGATTGTTAGCTCTTCTTGTTGCATTGATCCCTTTACCATTATGTAACGGCCTTCTTTGTGTCTTTTGATGTTTGTTGATTTAAAGTCTGTTTTATCAGAGACTAGGATTGAAACCCCTGCTTTTTTTTTTAGCTCTCCATTTGTTTGGTAAATCTTCCTTGACACCTCACTGTCAATATTAGACAGATCAACGAGGCAGAAACATAACAAAGATATCCATGTGGCCATGGTGTTGCAAGCTGGACAGGCTTCTGCTTCTGGGGTGCCCTTAATAAACTTATTATCATAGCAAAAGGCTAAGGGGCAGCAAGCAAGTGTTAGATGCTGGGAGAAGGAGGACAAGAGAGAAAAGAGGGAAGTGTTACACAATTTTATAGACAACCAGATCTCCTGAGAACTCGCTATTATGAGAACAGCAAGATTGAAATCTGCCCTCATGACCCAATCACCTCTCGTCAGGCCCCTTCTCCAACATTGGGAAGTACAATTCAACATGAGATTTGGGCAGGGACAGAGACCCAAACCATATCAGACTGTAGAACAATGCAGGTATAATTCTATACTTAGGTAAATAATTCAGTAAGTAGGGAGAGATGATGCCCAAATTCAGTGTGGCATTCTGGATTGGACATTGGAACAGAAAAAAGGGATTAATTTTAAAAAGTGAAATCTGAAAATATTCTGGAGTTAAATTACTAGTAGTACACAAACCTAATATCCTAGTTTAATCCTGTGCTATGATTATGCCAAAATGTGTACAATAGAAGAAAACAGGTGAATGGTATGTGGGAACTATTAGTGTCATTTTTATAACTGTAATGAAATGCTAAAATGATTTCAAGTTACTGAGTTAAAAAAGCATGGTTCAGAAGAGTCTGCTAGTATGCTAGTTTTTTTTAAGTATTGGACATATAATTTTATTAAAATTGCATTTACTTTTTTAAGAGATGAGGTCTTTGTTGCCAAGTCTGGACTCAAACTCCTCAGCTCAAGCAATCCTCCTGCCTCAGCATTCTGAGTCCTGAGGTGGAGCTGCAGAAGACATGCTTTAAGTAGCCAATATTAATATATACAACTAAGAATGTTACTGCTGGACTGTAAAAAATGTACTATCAAAAAGTTACTGGAGTCCAAAGAGACATATATCAAAATTAGCTGAGATAGTGATTAATTTCGTCATGGAAAAAAATAGGCATTTATTTAAAACTGAATACGATTCTGAAATGTGAAAACTGTTTAATTAGGTCAAGTAAAAGGAAGTATTGGGGTAAGAGTAATAATGAGAACAATTTGTAGGTGGGTAAGAGGAGGGCTTATTAGAAAAGAGTATCTAAAATTATTAGATCAGAACATGAAAAAGGATAGTAAATTAAAAATCCCATCTCTAGAAAATCAAAAGCACCCTACATTCAAGAAAACATAAAATATAATTTCTGGAGAAAAATGCATGCTTATAGATGTAGCTTAGCATATTCCATAGTTAGAAGACTATACAGATAATAGTAACTAGCAATCAGATCTGAGATCTAATACGTTAAAATTTTATTGAATTGGTAATTAATAATTTCCAGTTCAAGAAGGCTTTGCTTCCATGGATTTTTTTCTTCTTTAAAGGATCTTCTTTCAACTCTAACAACAGTACTCTATTACCTTCATTTTATAGATGAGGAGTAAAAGTTTAAATGACTTGCTCACTACCCTGCAGCCATTTGGGAATGAAGCTGATCCAAAAATCACACATTCATTATATTATAGTCTTTTCAATATATTATGCTTCTGTCTGCTTTTTATGCTATCACCTAGTAACAGCCCACATTTTTAGGGAATAAGAGAAAGACATATCATTTTATAATCATATAATTTAAAAGCTGAAAGGGACCCTAGAGATGAGATAGTCTAGTTCTGAAGTGTCGTAGCTCAAAGAGTAAGAACTAGCCTCCAGGCATGCAATTGGTTACTGTTATTGGTGACCAGACACAAGTTTCTTAGTTTCTGTCTTCTTCTACTAGGTCAAATAATTTATTTTTCTGAAAGCTGATGGAAAATAAAACTGGGAACAAATCCAAGATATTTCTTAATGAATTCACTAAAGAAAACCTCAATTTACAAGATAAAGAATCACTATATAATGGCAGACACTTTTTTTCAGAGACTATTCA